CCAGAAATCATGTTTAAAATCATTTAAACCATTTTTGGAAAAAATAAATAAACCTCTTCATTAACTTTTTTCAATTCCCAAAATAATATTCCATAATGTTTTCTCAAATTTTCTTGGGCATTAAATAAGTTTATTAATTATTTTTCCCTTAAATTCTCACCTGAAATAAGCTCTTTGGCCAACAATTCATTTTCGAGGTATTTAGATTTCAAATAATATCCCTATGCCTCAAATATGCCTTAAAAATTTCCTTTCTACTTTTCATGTTTTCTCAAATTTCTGGACATTTGTTTTTATAATTGTACTTTTCGGTCATAACTCATAAACTCCTCATACTTTCAACTTTTTGACCAACTCAACTTATGTAATCAGTATTCAAAATTTTAGGATGTTACGTTAACAAACCATTTGAGCTTGTAATTGTATTTTATTATATTTCTAAATCAAATTATTACGTGTTTTAAGGATTTGGGGTTCAATATAAAAATTTATTTTAAGGAGCACTTGTAAATTAAAATATTAAAGTTATGATTGGAAGGTGAGCTTCTATGTCCATTTAGCTCACTAGCCTGTCATTAGAGGTTAAGCTGGAAAAAAAAAATCATAATTGACAAAAAGTGGTCCAATCCAACCTATTTTGGCTCATTTGACCCCTTTTTTTCCAGCTATACTTTAACATCATCAAATTATATAAGCATTTTTTGCAAACAAAATTCCTGACAAATCCTTGAATATTCATGAAAAGAAAACTTTTCTTATGCATTTTCTCACAACAGACACAAAGAGAAATTGCTTTTTTATTTTTTTAATTATTTTGTGCATCAAAGTTTTTTATTTATTTATCTATTCTTTTATTATGTATCTTCTCTTTATACAAATTTTATAATCATACTTCTCAAATATTTTTAAATCAAACTCATCAAAAATTTTCCTCTCTTTCCCACCAGAGACCTTTGTTAACTAGGACATAGATATTGAACCTAGTTACCCTAACAAAGGAAGAATTGAATTAACTAACTTGCTTTTTTTTACTGCCTTTAAAACTTAGACAAGTTGCGTTTATCTTTTTTTTTCTTAAAATAGAATATTTAGCTATCATAAATCATCAAAATAAGATCCACCATCGTCTGCCCAGGTGGAATATGTGGCCTGTAAACTTTTTTTAGTATATATAAAATTACTTCCTTGAAATGAAATGATATTATGAATCCAAACTGGATGCTATCATTAGTCACTTTTAATTTATTTTACTTAATTATACATTTATATTTTTTATTTATCAAAGAAGTCAAATTTTATGTTGCATGAAACTTAATTTGTTAATTACTATTGTTCAAATAAATTTTAATTTATAAAACTGAATTCTAAAAAAATAAACATAAATTACGTTACAATAAATCTAATTTAAGCATGTGTATTAAAAAAAATTAATTTAAGCATAACATAAGCTTTCAGCAGTATTTAGTTTATTCAAATGTAGTTTTGCAAATTTTAAGCAAAGATTTATTCCTTTCCAAATCTATGACATATTTGATTTATCAACTAAAATATCTCTTCTTATAAAGAAACATAATATTTGTGCTTATAAAAAAAAAAAAAAAAAAAGCACAATATTTGTCTCCTAATGATAATTTATCGACTATTTGTGAAAAAAAAAAAAGATCAACTATTAACTTGTTTAAGCCGGCTTCAGAAAATCTCCATATGTTTTTACCAATAAAAAAAACATATTAAAACATTTAGTATCCTAAATGCGAACCACTCAATTCTTCACCATGTTTTATATGCTAAATATTTGAAATGTTTAAATTTAATGATTTAATCTGTTTTTAATTAATTCATATATACATTAATGACCCATGAAAAATAAATCTAGCTATTCAAACGCCTTTGTTTTTCTGGGGACCAATAGAGTCACTTTCAGCATAAACATATATCTGTATAAAAGGTGAGAAATGTATTTCTTCATTAAAATAAGTTCCTTATTTAATAATTTGATACGCTTGCATACTTACGTACATTTATATAAGTCAAATGTATAACTTTGATGTTTTAACTTTCTATAAGGTTTTAGTTTGATTTCTTAATTTTTAAAAAAAACAATTTCCAGTCATCTAATCTTGATATTGTCATTTTTGCAGCAATCGCTGTTATTAAACATCAATGTCGATGATTAAACCTTGCAACAGAGTACAAGAAAAGTGAAAAAAAAAAATTGAAAATACAAGGGATTTAAAATGCGTGTTGATAAGGATCAGGAAGAATTCTGAGCCTTCTCTGCTTTTTCCCTTTATGTGTTACGGTTGAGTTGCTATGGATCTTACGCTCTAGCTTGCACGTACGAGAGGCAATTATCTATTGGGATTCTATAGATATATTGAACAAAGGCCAAGCTTATGGTAAGACGACACACTCAAGTATAGTTTGTGAGGATATTACTTCGATGATCAAAGGTCCTGGATAGGATTGTGTGGGTTTTTCTTTCTTTTGTTTTTTTTTGTTTTTTTTTCCCCTTGGTTTTTCATCGACATCTTCCCTTCTTACTTTCTAATTTCCCTTTTTGGATTGGTATTTCTCATTACTTCTGATGGTGGGAATGATTCTCTAAAAAGTACAAGAAGAAATAAAGAAGAAAGTGATGCATTAAGTGTTTAAGGCATGTAAGCTTCAGCTTTGCTGATTATCACAAGCCTCCCACTTATAAGGTTGAAGTTGAAAAATCACAATTTGAGATTGAGCCACCTCCTGAGGATTCCCCCATTATAAACGATTACCCTTTTGTCAAACCCATTAGAATTCCACCTGACCCACCAACATTTCACAAGCTTCTAGCTAAAAAAACCACTTGTTTACAATCCTTCAGACCAAATTGTAATACTGGATATCAGATATTATGTTGAAAAAAATGAAACCAAAGTATGCTTTATTTGTCACATCGTGATGGATCAAACCAAACCTCCTTACTGATGAAAGCCATTGTTAATTCTAATTTTTATTATATTGTCTCTTATACATTACCAAATATTAACGTTCATGTTTAACCGAAGAAATATTCAAAGAAACAAATTCTTTTGATAATTGATGTAAAGGATAAAATTAATTTATATTCTCTCTAGATTTTAAAGGACATCTATGTATATAGCAAAATTTGCAAATGATGATTTGATCACAATCCAGTAGTACCAGAAACAATTGGTAGTATTATTAATCGCGAAATCACTTTATGTATTCCTTTGAAATTTAATTGTGATCAAGAACAAAAAACTCTTCAAGAGTCGGAACAGTTTATATATTATTTGAAATACTATATTATATTTAAACTTATGCTTTAATCTCTATCAAATATAATATATTTTAACGAATTATGAATAATAGATCTAGCTACTAAAAAAAAATTTGGGACGACCAGTAGATTCATTTTCAGTTAGTTATTTAATAATTTGATACACTTTATATCGATGTTATCGGTAAAATAGTATGAGAAAAGTGCAATATTGGTTGGAAAAAAAGGGAAAATTGGGAAAAAGTCCCCATTTGAAAAATATATTGGTAAATAGGACCTGACAATTTGTCAGCTTTTGGGGTCCTTCAGTATAAATAAATTTCAAAATGAAAAGATCAAAATACCCTTAATTATACATACTGGGAGTTTATTTGCACATAAGGAATATATGTTGCACATTATTAGAGTTTGATTGCATTGCACCTAATCTAAGTTGCACATAATAAAAGATAAAATGCATACGGCAAGTTTAGTTACACATAAGAAAGATATATTACATGCATTACAAAAAAAATAGCTCATTTCTGATAGAATTAACGACGGAAAATTATTCTGTCACTAATTTCCGATGAGTTACCAATGGAAATTCCATCACTAAATTCTGTCCATTGCTAATCTGTCAGTAAATATTTAGCAACCAAATTTTTGCTATCAAAAATTTTCATCGCTAATTCTGTCACTAATTCATGTCATTGTTAGGTATATACTGAGAATAAGAAGATAATTTCTTCGAAAACTTGTTTATATTTCATTAAAATCAATTCCTCTTGATTATTAATAATAATTAAAAAATATAATAAGAATATTAATAACTTTTTTATACAAACTAATATTCAATATTAGTATAAATCACTTTTTCTTTTTTATAAGAAAAAGAAATGATTTTATTGTATATACAATATATTGAAAGATATTATGTATAGTAGAAATTCAAAACAAAAAAATAAATTTATATGAACACAAACTAATATTCAAATTAATTTTGAATTTCAACCATTAAACAATAAAATTTAATCATGATATAATTAATACTCATGATATAGATTGATTTTGGTCTTCTATGCAAAAACAAATAGTATATATAAAGAATTTTAAGAAAATAAATTACATAGGATACATACATATACAAGTAGAATAATATTGTTTATCATAATTTATTCAAATCATTTAATTTTTAATAGAATAACTCATTAGATTTTATTATAATAGTTATTTTTTGAATAACTAGAATTTTACTAATTATAAATGGTTTTTCATCAACTATATAAAACACATAGAGATAATATAATACAATGTGATATAATATATATATATATATATAATTAAATTGGACATCTTATCAATGTTAATTAAAAACTAAATTTCAAAAAATATTTATGAAAAATTTATTTACGATTTAAAATTCAAAATTAGTGTCATTAGAAGTTAAAATTATATTAAAAATATTTTTTAAAAAATAAAAAAATTATAACATAAATAGTAAAACAAATATATCATATAGTTTATTTTTATTTTTTAATAATATATATGTATATAACATTGTTTGTGTAAAAGAATATTTTATATATGTATAATTTTGCATAATAAGTCAACAAGTTCATTACAACTTAACTAGTAAAGTCGCACACATGTACAGATGAGGTCCCGAGTTCGAGCAATGAAGAAGTCACTTTAAGGAGGAATTATATAGTGGCGACACGTGGTATCATAAGGTGACATGCGAGGTGGCAGCACACGTGGCGATGATCACCGAGGTGGCAAGAACATGTGGAGGTGGTTGGTGGTCGTCACTGGTTATGACATAGCGACTGGTAGAGGCGCCACATGACATTTTATTTTATTTTTTTCAAAAATCAAATTAGCGACAAATTAGTGACAGAAAAATTCCGTCGCTAATTTGCAACGGAAATTTCTGTCAATAATTAGCAACAAAAATTTTCTATTAGTAATTAGCGACTGTTGCTAATCCATGGCTAATTAATGATAGAATTAAAATTGTCACTAATCCAATTAGCAACAAAGGAATTAGCGACGGAACAAATTCAAAGAAAGTTTAGTTGCACATAATAAAATATATTATATGCAAGGGAAGTTGGATTACACAGGATATGTTTTAAATATAATGAAAGATAAATTGTATATGTAGGAAGTTTAGTTGCACATAGAAAAGATATATTGCACATTATTGAAGTTTGATTGCACCAAACCTAAATTACACATAATCAAAAATAAATTGCATGGATTGAAAATTTAGTTGCACGTATAAAAGATATATTGCACATTATTGAAATTCAATTACACATAACCTAAGTTGCACATAATAGAAGATAAATTGCACACGCTAAGAGTTAAGTTTCACGTAAAGAAAATTTAGTTGCACTTAATTAACCTAAAGTACACATAATAGAAGACAAATTACACATATGAGGAGTTTAGCTACACATAAGGAATTATATTGCACGTAAAGGAAGTTTAGTTGCACCTCATATAATTTGTACATATTGCACTTATGTTCTAAGCATGTTGTGTGCAATTTAACTTGCCTTACCTGTAATTTATCTTTGTTATGTGCAATTAAACTCCCATATATGTATTTTATCTTCTATTATGTGCAACTTATAGTTTAAGTGTAATTAACTTTTTCTTATGTGCAATATATCTTTCTTATGTGGAAATAAATTTTCTTCATGTGCAATTTATTTTTTATTATGTGCAATTTAAGTTATGTGCAATAATCAAACTTCAGCAATGTGTAATATATATTCCTTATGTGCAATTAAACTTCCAATATGTGCAATTAAGGATATTTTGATCTTTTCAATGTGATATCTATTTACACTAAACGACTTCAAAAGTTGACAAATTGTCAGGTCCTATTTACCAATATATTTTTTAAATGGGACTTTTCCCCAATTTTCCCCAAAAAAAAAATCCGCCAATAAACAAGCACACACATATGTACACTAATGTTGTTATCATTATTTTATTTATGACATATATTTTGATAATATAATACTTCTCCGTCCTAAATATAAGACCACTTTTATAGTGTAATTTACTTTACAAAAAAGATCTTATATTTAGGATTAGAGGAGTATATTGGATAAATAATATAATATTTCCGCACCAACATCCCTTTCTAGTTTTTACTAGAAATTATATTGGATCCCATAGTTTGTTATTTGCACCGTCAACACAAGTTCAACAATAATGTCCTTTAAACACTTTCTGGTTTCCTGTTTTTTAGGATTAGTGTTTCTCATTACTTCTAGCTTTGCTGATTATTACAAGCCTCCCCCTTATAAAGCTGAAGTTGAAATATCACTATTTCAGATTGAGCCACCTCCTGAGTATTCACCCACTGATGACTCTGATTACCCTTTTGTCGAACCGGTAAATATAGACCCACGCCACCAACATTTCACTAGCCTCCTTTGTGAATTAAAAACTGAGAATCCTATGATTTTAAGTAGCGGATAACCTCTTCGTACTGTATTAATATTTTTCCAATTGTTTTACGTTCTCCTTGTTGTCTAGAATGTATAATTATATGTCCTCATTGTGACATTGATGATATATGATAAAATTGTCTATTTTGACCTACTTTACCCCTTGTTTTTTAGTATATTGTGCTAGTCATATAATTTGTAGCAAAAAGAAATAATCTATGGGCAACATGGTAGGTAATATTTAATTAACCATATGCTACCGATGAGAAATAAAAAATGCTCCTATATGGAATCCTTGGGGGAGCATTGCTATTAATTAAAGAAAAACCTCCATACCGTGCTTTTTAAAAAACTTAAAATTTTCCCTCATCCTTCCTCACCATACAAAAAAGCAAATATAAATCAAATTCATTACAGATAATTTTATTTGTGTGCTCACAAAAAAGGAGTGCCAAGTCAGCTTAATAAAACCCAAGGAACCAAAAAAAGGAAAACATTTCATTGGTCCAATTCCATGCCACCATTTCTATTTCAATAGAGAAAATATAAGAAAATAAAGATTTAAATTTAAACGGGCAAACACCCACCGACGTCATCTCCCCCCCCCCCCCCCCCCCTCCCCCTCCTCAGATTGCACTTGGGAACCTACTTCTTTGGCCTACACGGTCTGTGGAAGAAGATGTGTCACATCCATTATTTTAACATTTTTATTACCCGTTTAGAAGTGTTATGATTTAGGTGAATAGTTAATTACAACCCATAAATTAAAATTCACATTTCAATTATTGAATTAATATTCATTTGACATTATCAGATTTTTTAATCTAATTTTGAAAATACACAACGAATTATCAAAAATTGTATATGGATGCTCTAAAATTCAGTTGAAATTTCTTGAAGTTTAAACTTCAAGAAATTAATGAGTGCCTAACCTTATAAGATTTTTTTGACATTCATAATGTGATTGACAACTCTTTTAAAATCCTGTAAGACTAAGCACTCACTAATTTCTTGAAGTTTAAAAACTTATCATATAAATTAAAGTAGTTAATGTCACCAATAGAGTTGTGATTATCATTACAAGAGATGCTAATCAAACTACGAATGTTGACAAATGAAGTTATTGGAATCGTAAACATTATTATAAAAATTGTTAATCACTTTACGTATGTTGAAAAAAAATATAAAAACAAGTTGTCAACACTGATTGTTGATCAGCCGTTGGAGTTTTGGTGCGGGCAGCCTAGCTACTATAGTTTTGGCACCGATCACCAATGGTCATTGGCGCAGAGCTCAAGCTCCCGCTGGGTCGACAAGGTTAACTTGAGGTTTTCTTAAAATAATAATAATAATAACAACAACAACATTGTAAATTCATCAACATTTTAAAATTCTAAATTAGTCATCGGACTTTTTTAATTTTAGGGAACATTTTTGGGTTTTTGAAATTCAACTATCATTTCCTAGAATTTTTCCTTATAATTTTATATTTGTGTGGCTGTCGTTGCCAACACAAACCCACTAATTCTCTGCATTTTCTTTTTAGTTTTTGCTCTATAGAAGTTTAAAAATTCTCTACTCTAAAATTCTGATGGTGACCCGCCCTTTTCATCCAAAATGAGCTTAATCATCGCTCAAAATAATATTTCATAATTTTTTAAAAAATTTTCCGACATTAAATAAGTTTATTAAGTATATTTTCTTTTAGATTCTCAGATGAAATAAGCTTTTTGGTTCATAATTCATTTTCTAGACATTTAAATTTTAAATGATAACCTCAGACCTCAAATATGCCTTAATAATCAATATTAAGTGTTCCAAGGATTTGGGTTCAATATAGAAATTTATTTTAAGGAACATTTATAAATTAAAATATTAAAATTATGATGGGAAGGTGAGCCGGTATGCCTATTTAGCTCGCTAATGCAAAGGTTAATCTGAAAAAATCAGAATTGACAAAAAGTGGTCCAACCGAATCTATTTTGGCTTTCTGGCTTTACTTTAACATCATCAAGTTGTATAAGGATTTTTCACAAACAACATTCCTGACAAATCCTTGAATAATCATGAAATAAGATTTGCTAAGATAAAAGTCTTTCCATATATTTTCTCGTATTCTGTAAATTATGATTGAAAAGCTATTTATAGGTCATTCCAAACTGGCCCTAAGATAAACAAGATCCACCATCATCTGCCCAAGTGGATTTGTGTGGCTGTAAATTTTTTAGTGTGTGTGTATGTGTGTCTATATGAAATAACTTCCTTGAAATGATATTATGAATCCAAAACCGGATGCTATTATTTTTTTTGGATGAATTTCAATTTATTTTATTTAATTATACATTTATATATTTTATTTATTAAAGAAATAAAATTTTATGTTATATGAAACTTATTTGTGAATTACTATTATATTCAAATAAATGTTAATTTATCAAACTGAATTCTGAAAAGATGAACATAAATTACGTTACAATAAATTTAATTTAAGCCTAACATAAGCATTCAGCAGTATTTAGTTTGTTCAAATAGTTTTGCAAATTTTAAGCAAAGATTTATTCCTTTCAAAATCTATCACATATTTGATTTGTCAACTAAAGACATGTTTCTTTCTATTTTTTGTTCTTTTATTTTCAGAATATTTTTATAAAATTGTTTTCTAAGACGATTTTTGGAAACAAAAAACAAAAGAAACTGTTGGGATAATTGTTCTAAAAAATTAAATTTGAGAATAAACATATTAAGATAGGAGAGTGAAACTTGGACGATAATTTAAGTCATCAAATGGAGAGATAACCATTGAATACAGAATAAGGTGTTTCCAATTTTTTAAAATAAAAAATCAAACACAAAAGAAAAAAAAAGTTGTTTTGGTTTTTTAGTTTTTTAAAAAAATAGATTTCTATTTTTAAATGCACTAGACTAAAATAGATTGTCAAACAAATTAAATTTTTTTGTTTTTAAAAACAAAAAACTGTTTTCAAAATAAGAAACCAAATGAGGCCTAAATATCTCTTCTTACAAAGAAGGATAATATTTGTGCTTATAAAAGGAAAAAAAAAAAAAAAAAAAGATACGTTGTTGTCAACAATTTGTGAAAAAAACTTGACCAGCTATTAACTTGTTTAAGCCGGCTTCAGAAAATCTCCACATGTTTTTACCAATAAAAAACATATTAAAACATTCAGTATTCTAAATGCCAACGATTGAACTCTTCATCATGTTGTATGTGTATATTTACTTATAAAATATTAAATTATATTTGAAAATTCTTACGTATTTGTTTGGGTTGCTGTAATTTAAATTTATTATGCATAATTTTTTATTGAAAATATCCTTTTTATAATATAATATATAAAGGAAATCCCATCAAATAATAAATGATTGAATTGATTAAAACAAAAGAAATTTGTGAATATATAAACCAATAATAGTTTGGCTAATTAAAAACATAGAAAGCATAATTAAAGCAATTATAGTAGAAGTTTTGGAGGATAGGTTTGGGATAATTTGTTGGAAAAATTAATGCCAGGGATAATGTCCTCAAATTTTTTGTTTCGCAAATTCTTATAATTTGTGTTTCTAAAGTCTCTTCCTCCAAATTCATCCGCCAACTAAAATACTCTTTTTAAGTTGCAAGATCTCACATTAATCCTCCAAACGAGACTAAAGCCACCGGTAAACATTAGTCATATGTATGCGTTGGTTTTCATTCTAATGCATATAATTAATAAGAATATTTTAAAAAAGACAATACTCATCTATTATAAATAACTAATTTAACTAATTTGTTTAATATTCACAAATTCATTATACAAGCTCTTGTATTCGCGAATCAGTTTATGTACAAATACGTATGAATGAAAGGAAAAAACATTTTTGGAGTTTTATTTCTATTTGAACTAGACAATGCTCAAATTTAACCAAATAATATTATCACATACTTTATCCAATTCTTAATATAAGAGCTAAATAATTAATTTTTAAATATTAAGAAAATAAGTGAAGATAGTTATTTTTTATAAATTTATATGATTTATCTAAACTATACTCTCTAATCATATCCATTGGAACTATCCTTTGATTGGTTACCACCTAAATAAGCACAATCAATAAAGATATTTTGAGCAAAAAATTATAAATTTAAGAGGTGAAGTAGATTAAAGTATTATATTTAAAACAAGAGGTAGTATTATATTAAGAAAGCAAACTAAAGTATACTCTATTTATCACATCACGATGAATCAAACCAAATCTCCTCACTGAAAGCCGCTGGTAATTATTTTGAGTATTATTATGTTGTCTTTTGTACGTTACCAAAGATTAAAATTCATGTTTAATTAGCTGAAAGAGATATTCCTTTGAAATGTTACACTGTATTTAATTTTAATGATTTAATCTCTTTTTAATTAATACTACCTCTATCACTAATATAAAAACCAGATAACTAATTTGGGGAGATTAAAAAAATTAGTTAGGTTAGTTATTTATAACAAATATGTGTTGATTTCCTAAATTACCCTTATTTAATTATGTACAATGAAATTGCACTTTGGTAGAAATACCTTACAATCAATGGGAATATTTTTATAACACATTAAAAATTTGTGAGACAGTGAATTGGTGTCTTATATTTGAGACCATCAAATAACTTTTATATTTACAGCCAGAGGTGGTGCGTGTATATTAACCTATAAAAAATAAGTCTAGCTATTCTAACGTTTTTGTTTTTTCTGGGGACCAAAAGAGTCACTTTCAGCACAAATATATATACACTTATATCGGTGTAAAAAGTAGGAAATGTATCTCCTCACTAAAATAGGATCGTTATTTAATAATCTGATACGCTTCCATGCTCACATATCTGCATGTATATCTATGGCAAATGTATAACTTAGGTTTTTCACTTTACATAAAGCTTTAGTTTGATTTCTTAATTTTTTTAAAAAAAAAATATCTCCAGTCATCGAATCTTAATATTGTCATTTTTGTAGCAATCGTTGTTATTAAATATCTACATCGATGATTAAACCTTGTAAAAGAGTTTAGGAAAAAAAAACTAAAAAAAAATTGGCATTATAAAGAAATTGAAAAGAAGAGGGATTTTAAATTTTTCCTCGAACATAAATGAAAATGCGTGTTAATATGGATCACGAAGAATTCTGAGCCTTCACTATTTTTTTCCCTTTATCCTGGTAAAAAAAAAACCTATTTTTTCCCTTTATGTGTTAGGGCTGGTTTGCTATGGATCTTACGCTCTAGCCTGCACATACCAAAGGCAATTATCTATTGGGATCTATTCACTACCAGAAAAAAAATACTTTAGGCGATGACTTTCGATGGCGACAAACACTACCAACAAAAAATTTACTTTCAGCAACGACTTTCGGTGGTGACAAAAAAAGTCGTCACTAAAAGTATGACTTTCAGTAGCAATTTTTATTATCGCCACCAAAAGTGGGACTTTTTAGTGGTGACATCAAAGTCACCGCCAAATGTAGGACTTTCTGTGGCGACTGCATGTGATCACCGCTAAAAGGTACAACATTTGGTGGCAACAAATAATGTCACTGTTGAAAGTTGACTTTCAGTGGCGACATTTTTTGTCGCTGTTAAAAGTACTTTCAGATGTCGCCGTAGAAAATACCTTCAGTGATGACACAAGATAGTTGCCACTGAAAGTATGTTTTAGCGGTGACATTTTAGTTGCCGCTGAAAGTATTTTTCAAATTTCTTTTATTATTTTTATTAAAGGTTATTATATTTATATTGTAATTATTTTTATTGATATAATTAACTCTAAATAACCAAAGCTTTTTTGATGTATTATTGTGTTAGGGGGGAGAGTTAGAGAGAGATAATGTAGTTAGTGAGAGAGAAAGGAGGAGGTAAAATGGGTGGGGTGTGTATGAGAAAGAGATGTTATAATTATATACATAAGATAGAATTAAGAATGTGTGTGACGTACGGGGTGAAAGCATATTTGAGAGAGAGATGTATGTTTGAGAGATAAAGAAAGATGGGAAGGTAGTGAGAGATAGAGTGTGAGAGAGAGAGATGTAATATGTAATTAAAATATAAGTGAAATGAGATGGTGTGTGTGTGAGAGGAATGCATTATAATTGAAAGAGATAGCATGGTTAAGTTTATGAGGGAGAGATGATTATAGTTAAATTAGTGTGAGTGCACTGTAGCAACTTTTTTTGTCACCGCTGAATATATGACCTTCAATGGTGATGTTATCAGGTTCACTTTTAGCGGCGACTTTTTAGGGCCGCCGCTGATAGTAGACTTTCAATAGCGACTATTAGTGTCATTGCTGAAGGTCTGACTTTCAGCATTGACTTTCTAATGTCACCGCTAGAGGTCTGACTTTCAGCGGTAACTTTCTAATGTCGCTATTGAAGTATAATCTAATAATATATATTTTATTTTACAATAATAATAAACAAGTTCAATTCAGCTCAATGGTAAGAAGATTGGACATGTAAGGAGGTGCTCACGAGTTCAAACCTTGAAGAAGACACATTTAAGATGAAAATATTTGGGCAGTGACGTGGCCGCGAGAGGGTGATGTGGCATGAGAGTGCTGATGTGGCGATAACATGAAGGTGGCCGATAATGACGTGGCGTCTGGTTGGTGATGATGTGGGGACTACAACGTTGACGTGGTGCCAGTGGCGATGACATGGCATCAGTAAAGCTAATTTTTCTTAGGCATCACCTTCTGCGGTGACAAAAAAGTCACTGCTAAAAGTCACTTTTGGCGGCGACAAACTGTCGTTTCTAAAAGTTCTTTCAGCAGCGACAAAAAAGTCGTCGTTGAAAGTCACTTTTAGTGGTGACAAATATTGCTACTGAAGTTTCTAAAAGTTGCCATTGAAAGTTTCAATCACAGTCACTACGGCAACGACTTTTTAGCTGCGACAAAAAAGGTTGCCACTAAAACCTTTTAGCAGCAATTTTTTATACTTTCAAGGGTGACTTTTTGTCACCGCTGAAAGTCAATTTTTTTGTAGTGAAAAAAGTGGTAGCTGAAAGTTTGCTTTCAGCAATGACACTAAAAAGTCACTACTAAAAGTAAGACTCTAAAGTAGACTTTCAATGGCGACATTCCAATGTCGTCACTGAAAGTTAACTTTTAGTGGCGACTATTAGTGTTGCCGCTAAAAGTAGACTTTTAGCGGCAACTTTAGAAAGTCATTGTTGAAGGTTTGACTTTCAGCAGTGACTTTTTAATGTCACCGCTAAAAATATAATAATATATATTTTATTTTACAATAGTAATAAACAAATTCAATCCAGCTCAATGGCAAAAAGATTGGACACGAAAGGAGGTAGTCATGAGTTTGAACCTTGAAAAAGATAAAAGATACATTTAAAGTGAAAATATTTGGGCAGTGATGTAGCGGGGAGGAGTGATGTGTTAACGACGTGGAGGTGGCCGACGATGACATGGAGCTAGCTAGTGATGACGTGTGCTCGGTTAGTGACGACGTGGTGACCGCACTATTACAAAAAAGAGCTGTCACGACGCTAATTTACGGCGGTTATAAAAAAAACACTGTAAAAAAATGACAGTGGCATTTCTATAATTATAGGCATACTTTTAAAGGCGGTTATTTAAAAAACCGCCGTAAAGAGTTCTTTTAACAGCGGTTTTCTTAAAAACCACCGTAAAAAATACTTTAAACTGCCGTTTTTTAAATAACTGCTATAAAAACGTCTATCAGAATTTTAAAATCCATAACGTGATAGTTTTCATTTTTTAGAGTCAGAGCTCATAGTCCCCTGTTACCATCCTCACTCGATTTTCTCCCTCCTCCTACCTTTGTCGGCGTTTATCCTTTGCTTCTATCATCTCCGTCATATTCTTCCATCACTGTTGTTGTTGCTGTTGCTGTTGCCGTTGCCGTCGCCATCGTCTCATACTCTTCATTCTTATTTGTGAGTTTTTCACCTCCACTCTTTTTGTGGATTTCATAGTTTTTGTGGTTTGATATGATTATTTTCTTTAGTTAAAAATATGATGTTTAATCTGAGTTTAAAGATATCTGATTTTTATCAAAACTGAGTCTTTGATTTTATTTTTATTAAATCTTAGTGGCTTCGATATGGTAGTTGAAGGTGAAGCTAAGTGGCGCTATTATGACAGGAAAGAATCTACGTTTGCTCCATCAGAATGCTTTTAAATGGTAAGAGATTATTGGTTAATTGATTTTCAGACTCCTTTCTTTGAGGCTTTGTTCTCTCGTTCCATCATGATCAATAGGGTGAAACATAAACTAAAAAAAAAAAATGTTCATAGCGGTTATTTATATAACTGCTTATAACCGCCGTGAAAAGTCACATACTACAATGGTTCTTAAACTACTATGAAATCCTCTACATTTTATGTTAATGGCATAGACGTTGCTCTCAACCATCTTAAAAAGCTCATTTTAACCACCGTTAAATGTTTTTTTTGTAGTAGTGCTAGTAGCGATAAGGTGGAGGTGGCCAGTGGAAACGTGATAGCTGGCAGTGATGACGTGGCATCTTTAAAGCTAATTTTTCTTGGGCATCACTTTCAGTAGTGACTTTAAAGTCACTTTTGGCAACGACAAAGTACTTTTGGCAGCGACAAGAAAGTCGCTGTTGAAAGTATCTCTCAGTGGGGACAAATGTCACCACCGAAAGTTTCTTTCAGCGGTAACTTTTTTTTGTCGTTATTGAAAGTTTTCAGTCACGGTTGCTATGGCAATGACTTTCAAAGACGACAAGTCGCCACTGAAAAGTTTTAACGGTGACTTTTTGTCACCACTGAAAGTTAATTTTTTTGTGTAGTGATTGAACAAAGGTCAAGTTTCTTTCCCTCATTTGTGCTAAGATGACGCACCCAAATATCGTTTGTGACGATATTACTTCGATGATCAAAGGTCATCTTAAGATAGGCTCGTGTGGGCCCCCCGGGGTGGCGGCTTTTTTTTTCAATTCTTGCCTTCTTATTTGTAAACTTGTAATACTTTTTTATTGAAATATAATACTTTATCTTGTTATAAAAAAAGAATGTGTGTTGCTAAAGCCATCGAGTTTACACTTCACTACCAGCCTGGACTTTATTTTTTAATCATTGCTTTTATTTATTACACGTATTTTAATTATATAATACTCCTCCTTAATGCAAGATATAATTAATTTAAGTATATTAAGAATGTTGGTTAAATTAATCAATATGATATTTTTTAAAATATCTGAAGCATCTTCCTTAATTCCCTCATTCCCTGTCCTACTCGATTATTATTAAGAAAATATCAATATGGTTAATTTGAAAAAAAAAGGATAAATATGTAAAATATGTCTTTTATATAGGACTAATACCAACTTATAAATTAGATCTTATATTAACAACCGGAGGAGTATATTGGATGAACAATATCTCCACACCAACTGCCCTCTCTAGTTGTACTATAAATATTGGAGCTCATGGTATGTGGTTTGCATCAACAAAAGTTCAACAACGTCCTCTAAACATTTTCTAGTTCTCCTTTTTGGATTGATGTTTCTCATTACTTCTGGCTTTGCTCATTATTACAAGCCTCCCACTTACAAGCTTCACGTTGAAAAACCACTGTCTAAGAATGAGCAATTTCCTCCTGAGGACGAACCCATTAACGACAAACCCATCAACGACGAACCCATTGAGGAGGACCCCTTTGAGGAACCGATAAATGGTTACCCTATTCTTGATGGTCTCATTCACAATGGGCCACCACTTTACAAGCTTCAAGTTGAAAAACCACGTGTTTACAACCCTTCTGTTGAGGAAACACCTGTGGAGAAACCACCAAGTTATATGCCCCAACCTTATGGTCACTAGCCTCGTTTATCAAACACAAATTGAGTATCCTATGATTTTAAGTATACTTTAATACATAAAAGTAAGAGAGTATATGACTTCTTGGTACTTTATCATCAAAGCATTTATTAGTATTTGGCTAATTCTATTTTACGTTATCCTTGTCGTCTAATTAATATGTATGGTTGTACGGCTATTTCCATTCTCCTTATTTGTGATATTGATGAGATATATAATAAAATTGTCCATCTTGGCCTGCTTTCCCTCTTATTTATTAGTGTTCCAGCTATAACTTGTGGCAAAAAGAATCATCTATGATCAACATGGCAAGTAATATATAAGTATCTGTGTGCTAACTATGAGAAGGTTTCTGTGTCAGCTGGGTGTTGAAGAGATATTTAAGTATATATCAATGTGCTAACTATGTTTTTGTGACATTTGCAAACAAATTAATGCTTAAAAATCATGGTATTAATGGAAGATATCATAACATTTTCAAAGGATGACCTTTAGTCATCTTATCATAATCATCACCATTGTCTTTTGTCACTTTGTATCTTGAAGTGCCACACTAATCAGGATACTTATTCATTCTTAGGGCACGCATGTATTTTCCTATACTCCAAATCTATCAGATACAATTTTCTTTGCCTTGTACATATGTTTTGCACGTGAATTTTCTCTTAAAGCATATCGCTTAATAATTTGAGCAATTCCATGAAACTAATATCAATTTAACTATTTCTTGCCTTCAAGTTTATCAACTTCAACACATTTGTCAACATTGTGTTATCATCTTTACATACCTCGGGTACAAAGGCTTCTTCCCATCACTCCCAAGCTTTCAAATGCCAAAAAGAACTGTGCAAAAGACTGTGCCCTAACATCATGAAACTTGCCACCCATGCCATCATTCACCACTTTCTCCTTTTGGAACAAAAAAGTTGTTAGATCCAAAATTTTGATAATAACAAAATTAGAGAAGAATTTGTTTTGCAAAGGAAACTTGATAAATTTGTACAATATAACATCAAAGTGTTTTTCTCATTATAATTATTCAAAGACTATTTATTGGTCTGCAAGTTTTAAATGTTTTTGCTAATGCCGAGTATCTGCTCGCATAAGCTCAAAAGCTGAACTAAGTAAAAAAGACCTCATTCTTTATCTGAGTCTATCTCTTTTATTTTTGAGTATTCAACTCTAGTTCACTTAGATATACCAAAAGTCAAAATAAACTTCTTGTCTGGCTCCTAAATATAGGAGCCAGAGGTAGTATTATATTAAGAAAGGAAAATAATGTATAATCTGTTTGATATTGATCACATCATGACGAATTAAACCAAATCTCCTCACTGAAAGCCGATGAAAATTAACTCTTTCTAAGTATTATTATATTGCCTTTTATACATTACCAAAGATTAACATTCATGTTTAATTAGCTGAAGAGATATTCCTTTAAATTGCAACAGTAATTAAGAAAAATAAAGTGAATAAACTCTTCACGAGTCGTGACAGTGTGCGTGTGTAAACAAGTCAGAAGAGAGTGTTGCATTTGTTAATATATATGTTGGAAGGAAATGACGTATATTATATAAAATATTACATTATATTTAAAATTTATGCTTTAATCACTGGAAAATAAATCTAGCTATTCAGATGTTTTTTTTTCCCTGGGGGACCAACAGAATCACATTCAGCACACGCCTATATGCACCGATGTCTACACAAAAAGTAAGAAATGTATTTCTGCACTAAAATAAGTTCGTTATTCAATAATTTGATACACTTGCATACACACACACACACACATATGGAAAACATATAACTCCGATTTCTTTTAACTTTGTATAAGATTTTAGTTTGATTTCTTTTTTTTAAAAAAAAAATATTTTTTCCATCCTCTAATCCTAATATTGTCGTCTTTGTAGCAATTGTTATTATTAAATATCTACGTCAATGATTAAGCCCTGCAAATTAAAAGAGTACGAGAAAAGTAAAAAAAAAAAAAGGAAAAAGAAAATTGGCATTATAAAGAAATTGAAGAAAATACGAGGGATTTTAAATATTTCAGAACATGAGTACGTGTTAATATGGATCAGGAAGAATATATTCTAAGCCCTCAACTTTTTCCCCCCTCTTTATGTGTTAGGGCTGGTTTGCTACGGATATTACGCTCCAGCTTGCACGAGAGGCAATTATCTATTGGTATCTATTGCACAAAGGCCAAGTTTATTTACCTCGAGTAGTCTCTGAGGATATATTGCTTCAATGATCGAAGGTTTTTCCAGGACAGGATAGTGAGGATTTTCTTTTTCTTTGTTTTCCTTGTTTTTTCATCAGCATCTTTTCTCTCATTTGACTACTTAATTATTTATAAACTTGTAATACTTTTTGTAAATATAATATTTTATCTTTTAGCAAAGGAAAAAAAAAAGGAATGTGTTGATGAAGCGATCGAGTTAACACCTAACTACCGGCCTGGACTTTATTTTTTATCATTCTTTTATTTATTACATGTATTTTGATAATATAATATATTGGATGAATAATATCACCACACCAGCGGCCGTCCCTAGCTGTACTATAAATATTGGAGCCCATATTCTGTGATTAGCACCATTGATGACACGAGTTTGATAATGCAGTCTAAATTAACACTTTCTAGTCTTCGTTTTTGAAAGGCTGTTTCTCATTCCTTCTAGCTTTGCTGATTCTTACAAGCCTCCCAATTCCAAGCTTCATGTTGTCATTGTCCACGAATGAGCAGTCTCCTCCTGATGATGAACCCATTAAACCCATTAAGGATGATTATATGGCTATAGACATGTGCCATTCTCCTCATTGTAACATTGATGATATGTAATAAAATTTTCTATTTTGGCCTACTTTCTCCCTTATTTATTATTAATACTACCTCCGGCTTTTAATATAAAAATTCTAGTTAACTAATTTGGGAGATTAAGAAAATTACTAAATTACTTTAAAGTATTTATATTTATCTTTTTTTAAGACTAATTTGACTCACTTGTAAATTGATATATAATTTAATGACACATAAATATTTTACAAAGATCATGCGATATACGTCATACTTAAGCAATTTAGTAACTTACTTAATCTTTCCAAATTAGTTAACTAAATCTTACATTAAGGACCAAAAATTATATATTGTGCTAGATATAATTTATAGTAAAGAGAATCGGTTAATTGTCTCTTATAATTAAAAAGGAACAAATTAAAGGGAGTAATTTATTAGTAGTTGATAGGCATACGTTGGAGTTTGTGAATGTTGTTTTCCTATAAAATGCTGAAGGAGAGCGTAAAATTCCTCAATATGCTTGCCAAGGTATCCGTCCCATGCCAGCATTCCTGAACGAGAGCGTATCCACATGGGTTCAAATATACTCTTTCTATCCTCAATATAAGATCTATTAACTAATTTGATTAGATTAAGAAAGTTAGGTAAGTTAGTTAATTATAAGAAATATGATTTTCTAAAATACCATAATCATTTTTCTTAATATCCTTCATTTCCCTGTTATTTGGTTATGCTTGAGGGAGTATTAATAGAAGTAATTTAGGAAAAATTGATAAATATGAGAAATAAGTCTTATATTTAGGATCAAAATCAATTCAACAATTAGATACTATATTAAGGACAAGAGAAGTTATAATTTTTCATTTTGGTTTCAATTGAGGATATTCATGATTTGATTTAATTAGGTTGTCAAATGTTTCAATTTCACCACTTGGAACAAGGCATTGCGCTCTAATTTTTTATGTCTGACAGTTTATTTAGGCCCATGTGGTTTTTTTTCACTAGATCTAACCTGATTGGTTTTGCTGTCTCTCTTAATACTAGTTTTAATTTGGAACATCTCACATTGATCCTTTAGACAAAACTAAAGGAACCAATACACATTAGTCATATCTAATAGAGAGAGGTTATTAATATTTGGGCAATTCTCTCTTTTATGTTTTCCTTGTTATTGTCTAGAAATGTTCCATTCTCGTCATTATGATATTGATGACACATAGTGAAATTGTCTATTTTGGCCTAATTTCCTCCTTATTTGTCACTCCCTCCACTCCATCTCTTATTGTGAAAAACAGCTGTCAAAATCAAGTCATTCAAAATGTTAGTTAAAAGCAATAAATATGTAAGATGTATATATTTTTTTTTTCAATTATACTCTTGTTTCTTAAGGGAGTAGATGAGAGATAATAAGTGAAAAATTATGCATAGAATAAATCGCATATATTTGATGGAAGCAAAAGGGGAAAGGCGACTTTAAAATTTTAGACAGAATTTTTTTCGTATATTTAGGAATATCATTATGGGAGACATTTTTTCTCATAAAAAAGGACAGAGGGAGTACAATATTGTGCTAGCTATAATTTGTACCAAGAAGAATCATCTATGACCAACATGGAAAGTAATACTCCTCTGGTCCTTAATATAAGACCTATTTAACTAATTTGATTAGATTAAGGAAGTTAAGGAAGTTAATTAATTATAAAAAAATATGATATGTTTTTCCTAAAATACCATAATCATCTTCCTTAATATCCTCTCTCCCTCTTCTGCTTTATTATAGTTAAGAAAGTATCTATAAGGGTAATTTAGGAAAAACTGATAAATATGATAAATAGGTCTTATATTTAGGACTAAAATCAACTCAATAATTAAGTCCTATATTAAGGAGCGAAGGAGTATTATATTTAAGTAACCATATGCTAACTATGGGAAGGCTTTTATATCAGAAATGATACTATGTGGAGTCCGTTGTGGGAGCATTTCTACTAAAGAAAAACTTGTACACTGTTCTTTTTAAAAAACTTAATTTTCCCCCCTCATCCTTCATCACCATACAAAAAAGCAAAAAGATACATAAATTAGTTCATAATTACAGCCAATTTCCTTTGTGTATTCATAACAAAAAGTACAAATTCAGTTTCATAAAACGCAAAGAACCAAAAAAATTTTGTCGATCCAAATCTATGCCACCATTGCTGATTCG